TTGGCCCTGGGCCAGAGAGGCCATGCACACGACACAGGTGGCCACTTAAGTCTCATGACCTTCTTTACCACAATCTGAAGCATGAATACTCTCCAGGTAGGGGGATTATAAGAACACAGGCACGGAGCAGTTTTATCCAACCTCACCAGAAGCCTGGTTCCTTCACCTGCATTGTCCCAGCCCCACCCAAAGGTCTGTCTCTCAGTTCAGAGGTACGTAGAGTGCAAAGCGATGTGCACCCCACAGAAGACTGCCCTGCATTGTGCCCCAACTCCTATTGATTTGTCAACTTTTACTGTGCACTGGGCACGGTACGGTGAGGAGCTACATCTGCCCCTGTCCCGCCCAGTCAGGCACTTTCCAAGGAGTTGTCAACATTTTCTTGTTTGTTTTTGCTTTTGCCTTATTTATTTATTTATTTTTGTCTTTTTAAGACAGAGTCTCGCTGTGCAGTTCAGGCTGGGCTTGAGCTCACTTTGTAGTCCAGGCTGGTCTCGAACTTGCAAGGATCCTCCTGCCTCAGCCTCCCGAGTGCTGAGATTACAGGTGTGCACCACCATGCCCAGCTTTATTCTGTTTATTTATTTATTTAATTTCTTTCTGTCTTGTTTTTGCTTTTGAGACAGGGTCTCACAATGCAGTTCAGGCTGGCCTTGAGCTCACTTTGTAGCCCAGGCTGGCCTCGAACTTACAACGATCCTCCTGCCTCAGCCTCCTGAGTGCTGGGATTACAGGTGTGCGCCAACACCTGGATGCCAACATTTTTAAAGTGGGAGATTCTCCATGAAAATGAGATTTCCAGATGTTCTTGAAAAATTCATCTATCATGACCAAGTGGCCCTTCCCACAGGACTCCCTTCAGCAAGAGATGCAGTAGCAGACGCCCTCTAAGGATCAGGCAGAGCCCTCCTGAGGTCCACTTACCTCTCCCTACCTCCAGTTTCTTTTCCTGCCTAACTTTTCCAGGTCTTTGCATGTACTACCCACTCATTCACTGGTGGCAAATTTATGACATGTGGCTGTTTGTGTCATTAAAACAGTAAACCAAAAAGAAAGAAAGAAAGAAAAAACAGGGAACCATTGAAACAACAGGCTGATTGTATCACTGAAAGATCTAAAAGGTTCGCCATTACTGGGACCTTTTAGACAACTAATAGGTGCTTAGCTGTCCCGTGAGAAGAGGAACAAGATTCAGCCTTTGATTTTACTCTCTGGGCATGTGGAATAGGGTTTTTGAGGGGGTGAGGGAGACAGTTCACACAGAGGGAACTCCCTGTAGGCACTAAAAAAAGGCAGGTGAATGCAAAGGATTGTAAGGCCATGAGTCTCTTCCAAGTGGGCAAATCCATCATCTCACCCGGCTCTCACCAGCAGAAGGGGAGCTGACTTACCTAACAATTCACAACACAGAACTTGACCCACAGTAAGTTGAAGGGAGGGTGCTCAGCCTTTGGAATCACACAGACCCATGTTCAATTTCTTCCACTTCCATAAATCAGTGCCCTTTTCAGGTCTCCTTGAAACTCCTTAAAAGCGCTGGAGCACACCTATAATCCCAGCACTTGGGAGTCTGAGACAGGAGGATTGCCACAAGTTTGAGGCCTGCTTGGGCTACACAGTGAGTTCAGGACCAGCATGAGCTACAAAGGGAGACCTTGTCTCAAAAACAAACAAACAACAAACGGGGGTCATGAAAACCAGCCTTACAGCTTGACAGGATTAAACGAGAATGCGCTCTGACTCTGTCTCACGCAGTTCCTGGTCAGGGACTCACAATCGCCTGGCCCTGACGGGCTGTACCAGGCATGTAGCAGAGACAAAATTAACACACGTGGGCTAAACCTGGCAGGGCCCGAAAGGCGTCTGGCCATCCTTGATCCCGCGAGTGGGGCCGCGCACAGCTCCTGCTCACGCCTCGCTCTTCGGCCCTGAAAAGACTCAGCGGCGCGCGTGCGCAGACCGCGGATTGGTCTCCAGGTGCTCCCGGCCGGTGCGGACCGACGCAGAGCGGCGCATGCGCAGAAGGAGCTCCGAGGTCGCTGGCTGGCGAGGGCGCGTGTCTCTCCCGCCCTTTTGAGGGAGCAGGTCTTAGCAGCCAACCCCGCCGCGGCAGCCGTTCGAAGCGCGGAGAGCTAGTCAGTGTGTGGCAGAGCCGGCCGAGCCTGGGAGTTCCTTGGGCCTGAGGTAACTGGACCCGGCGGCCGGGGGCTCCCGCCAGGTCGATTTTCCGTTTCTTTCCTCAGCAGCTGCAGTTGCCCCCGCGCCCTCAGGTGACCCCTTCAGCTCCGGGCTGCGCGGCACTGCCGAGGCCGGGCTGTGTCGCGGGCAGCAGCAGGTGGGGCGCGACGGAGGCGAGGGCTGTGGGCTGGCGGTCCGGACCCCCGCC